TTCTCCTTCCCCCCCTCCCTTCTTCTCCTTCCCCCCTCCCTTCTTCTCCTTCCCCTTCCCTCCTTTATTCCTTCCTTTTTCCTTTCCTTCTGTATCTCCTTTTTTGTAGTACTAGGATTAAAACCTAGGGCGTTGTGCATGGTAGGCAACACTCTCCCACTGAGCAACATCCCGAGCCCTAAAGTGTTCTTTTCTTGTTCAGTGTTTCCCAGGGTGCCTGACGATCCAGATCCGCACCATCTTGTGCATATTCATAGTGGTCTTAATCTACTCAGTAGCTCAAGGATGTGTGGTGAGTATCACTAACTTTTTGCAAACACGGGACAAGAGTAGCTGAGTGGAGCTGGGGCAGGAATTATGAGACATAGCCAAGATGCTTATAATAGGAGGGAGCTCGGGCACAGGTGGAGTTGCCTGGCTTGGAGACCAGGTGAGGGCTGGTGCTACCTGGTCCACCTTGGCCCCTTTCCTGTTCTATATCCAGCTGGGAGCTGATACAGGACACAGTTGCAGAGGCAGATTGAAGCCTCACTAGTGGCTAATGCGGGAGAATGGGGGATCTGTGGGACTGAGACACTTGGGCATTCTGAAGGGCTGCTACACTTTGCCTGCTTTTTCCTGTATTTTATGCCCTTGCTTCCCAGGTGGGCTGCCTGCCCTGGGCCTGGAGCTCTCAGTCCAACAGTTCCCTGGTGGTCCTTGCGGCTGGTGGCCGGCGCACTGTGCTGCCTGCCCTGCCCTGTGAGTCTGCACACCATGCCCTGCTCTGCTGCCTGGTGGGCACCCTCCCACTAGCCATATTCCTGCGGGTGTCCTCCTTGCCAAAGATGATCCTGCTGTCTGGGCTGACCACATCCTACATCCTCATCCTGGAGCTCAGTGGTTACACCAAGGCTGGGTGAGTGCAGCTGGCCAAGGAGAAGGCCTAGACAGGATGATGTTAATCATTATTCTCCTCTTAAAAATGATTTGTATCAATTATTATCCTTACTCATCCTCTGATTATTGTCTCTGTAGTCACAGCTCCCCTCCTATGTGTCTGTGTGTGTATATGTGCATGTGTGATTAGCAAGCCAATAGGAGCCAAATCTATACAAATTTTTTTAGTTTAGTGAAAGGCTTTCCCATTTCCCTTCTTCAGCTCAGATTCTAGCAAAACCTCCAGCTTCTAGCTGAAATGAGAGTAGGTCTGGGTCCATCCTGGCAAGCCACTTGTAACCTCACCACCTAGGCATGGCTCCCTACCTAGACCCGGAGTTTGATGGTCATGTCTTGCCTGCTAGCCTGACACTGATGGGGTTTCTTCTCCACCTCCCACAGGGGTGGTGCCCTCTCTGGGCGCAGTTATGAGCCAATCATGGCTATCCTGCTGTTCTCATGCACACTGGCCCTGCACGCCAGGCAAGTGGATGTCAGACTGCGGCTGGACTACCTCTGGGCAGCACAGGTAAGTTGAGCCCTCTCTGTCTCCTGGGGTGTGGGATGGCCAGGTAGGAAGGCAGCTGAGACATTCACTGGCCATGTGGCCTGCAGAAGCTCCTACTCTGCAGGGCACAAGAGCTGGCACTGTTCGGGGCTTGTTCAGGCCTAGGACCGGTACCCATGAGATGGCTGCAGGATGCGTGGATTGGGGACCAAGGTTAGAGTGGTTGTGTTGTGTACATTCCCTGCCATAGTATGTGGCCATGATGTTCAGAGGGAGCTTGGTCTCTGTGAGGACTGGATGGTGGCCAGGAGCCTATTAGGTCCTCATGAAGAAAACATACCAAACCTCACTCCGCTTATCCTAGACCCAGTAGATTTGCTGGGGAATTCTGACAGGAGGTGGGATGACCCCTTTTGTGAGGGCATTAAAAAGGAGCAGTGTGAGCTGGCCGAGGGCACTGACCATCTGGGTAGCAGGCAGGGTGTCACATTTTCTACACTTAGTTTTCTGTTCAAGTGTGAGGAAGGTGCCAGCTGAAGTGTGCTTATTTAAGCCCCTGTCACAAAGCCACTTTTGGAGATGGTGAAGCCTACCCATGTCGGTGGCAGGGCTGGGCTGCCTGGTGCTCCTGTGTGTACCTCTGTGTGTGCTCTCCCCTCCTTTCTGGACATCCCCAGGCTTCTGTGTGGTGTTCATGTGTGTGAACCTCTGGGTGTGCTCACCCCTACTTTCTGGACATCCCCAGGCTTCTGGGAAATGAAGCAGTTGGGCAGCTGAGACCAGGTTGCCCAGGCTCTGATCCTGTCTACAGAACTTGCAGTAGTTTCTCCTGCAGCGCATTTTCCCATCTGGCTTTCTTACCTGAAAATGAAGCATAAAGGCTGGTGAATCTCAGTTTCAGCAAGAACTAGTCTCCTGGTTCTGATGCTTTAAGAGATGCTCTTTGCTGTTGGAGCTGTAATTTCCTTAGTTATCAGAGCAGTGCTGCCCAGGTGGTGGAATCTCACATGAGACAACAGGGACCACAGAGGGACTTTCCAGTGCCGGATGATGGCCGGGCTGAGGTAAGCAGCTGAGCCAAGCTACAGCTGCGGTCCATGAGATATCCTGACGGGCTGTAAGCTCCTGGTGTGAGCAGTGTCCGAGGTCAAGCAGCAATGTCTTCAGCCCAGGGCCTTTGCTCTGCAACCAGGGCTCAGACACAGGGTCCCAGCTCAGACTTGGGGCTCAGATGCCAGATGGTTATGGCCAGAAGGCAGCCGGGAGGAGCCAGTGACCAGGATACAGAGGCCCACTGTGGACACAGGAGTCTCGAGGTGATCCAGGTAACTGTGGCAGGGGGACCAGCTCCGACACACCTTCTGGAATGGGAGAGCCTGTTGATTCATTCTTGTTCCTAGGACTGAGTTGAGCAGTAGGCTATACAGTGGAGAGGCAGAGACCGGGTGACAAGGGCTAGGCCTGGCATTAAGCAGTCCTTGCCCCAAATTCCAACAGCTTAACCAGTGATTGGCCAGAATTTCCTCTGCCAGGCAGCAAAATGGAGAGAGAACCCCAGTCTAGGTTACCTGAAATAACTGTACTTTCCTTCTTGGCAACTCAGCTTCAGGCCTGGGGTGAGGGAGGAAGGCATGCCGTGTCCTCCTGGCTTGGTTGTGCAGGTAGTCCTATCCTTGGGCTGCAGGTCATGAATCCTCTTGGATGGCCAGCTCCTGCCACATTCCCCATTAACTCACCATACCCCAAAGCAGGAACCCAGGAGCTTATGGGTTAGTGTCCAGGTCGACTTCCTGGGGACAGCAGGTGGGGATGCCTCTGGTTCCGTCACTCACTGGTTCCAGGAAAGGTGACCTGGCAAGTTACATTTTGCCCTAGTCACATCAGGTAATGGGAAGAACCTCTATGGCAACTGTGGCATCGATCGTGGTCTTTGTTGGACTCAACTGGCTGTCCAGTGTAATCCAGCTGGCTGCGCCTTTTGGTCCACTGACCTTGCTGTCAGCTTGATTGTTGGGTTTAAGATAGCATCATCATGAAGCTAGAGAAAAATGAACATAGGGTGATCCTGGAAGATCAGCCAAGAGACACAATGAGATGGGCGTCTGTAAGGTTGTTTACCAGAGTATCCATTGGCTCAGCAATCTACGCAGGTGGAATTGAGATCTGGTTATGACTTTCTGCTGGGGGTATCCCCTGGGTACACATTCTCCTCATCTGGATTGACATGGCCTTTTCTTGACTTGGGTTATTAAATTATACCATTTGTTATTAAATGCAATATTTAACTGTTATTTAATCAGCATTTAATTCTGTGATGTGATTACCTAACCACACCCTGTACTAGTACTCATCACACGTGAGCCTTTCAGGAAGTTTAGGGCAGGAATGCATGCTCTCACATGTGTTCCTCATGCATGGGTGTCATGAGGGAAGGATTGCTAAATGAACCATACTGACACATTTTTTCCCCATAGATAGGGAACAAGAAATGCCACCTTGCTTTCCCGTAACCCCAGCAAAACATGGAGCTTCAGGACTTTGTTCCTTTGCCCTCTGGATATTTAGTCGGGTTGTTCAGACATGAGAGCACCTCAAACTGTTGCCTCATTATCCGGGCAAACACTAGCCAGGTTAATGATTTTTGGAGATCAGATTGACCATACACAGCTGTATAAATAATTGAGCTTTGCCTTTCCCTTGATGACATTCCCTTACTCTTCATCTTTAACTGTTGGGGTGCTTTTATCCCAGGGTTATTTTTTATTGAATTTAGGAGGTAACCCCAAGACAAACATAATTCTGTTTATGCTCATTTTTACCAATGCGGTTAATTTATTTATCAATAAATGCTTAATCTGAAGCTAACTCCCATCTTGCAGCGGCCTTTAGTAACTGAGGAGGGTTGCCTAGGGGTTGGTCTCGGCATTTTCAATGAATTCCCTTGGCACAGGCAGTAGAACCTCAGCCAGATCCTGTCGCATTCCTTCCTTCGGGCCCTTGTGTTCTTAACTGTGCATCTCTGCACTGGTATGACAGTTGTGGGGAGTTTACCGCATGCAAGTTGAGGTCACTGTTCTTGGACACAGAAGTGCTGTAGCATGTTGGTCATCCTTTTGTTCTGGCACTTGACACAGATTGAGTGTAAGTGCATGGGACCAGAAGATTCCTAATTATCTCCCACAGGCCCCACCTCCTAAAACTTTATTATTATTTTGTGTTTGTACATGATGTGTATGTGTGTTGGGGTTGGGAGAGCGTGCCATAACACACGTGTGGAGGTCAGAGGACAACTTTGTGGAGTTGATTCTCTCCTTTCACTTTTTTGTGGGATCTCTCATCTTTTTACATATTCTTTGCCTAACTTAATCGTGAACATTTGGAATGTACTCATAAGAAATGTTTTCATGTCTTTGTCCAGTCCTCTCCCCTGCATTTGAGCCTATTGATGCGTTGATTTCTCTCTTCTTTATGAGCTGTCTGGTTTTGTTGTTGCTCTTGATTTTGCTTTTTTACAGAGTAAATGTTTTTCAATACTGGGGTTTGAACCCAGGGCTTTACACATGCTAAGCAAATACTCTTCTGACTTCCATCTCTGGTCCTGAAAAGTTACCCCCCCCCTTTTTTTGAGACAGGGTCTCCCTGTAGTCCTGGCTAGCCTGGAACTCACTATGTAGACCAGGCTGGCCTTGATCTCACAGATATCCATCTGCCTCTGCCTCTGCCTTCCTAGTGCTGGGATGAAAGGCACGTACCACCACACCTGGTGCATAATTATTCCTTAATAAGCTTCTAGACCACTTGGCCTTTGCTTTCTCAGGTCTGGATACTCTTTTATTTTTAAAATTATTCTTGATCTGCTCTCTGGAACCCAGTTGAGTTACCTGACAACATTTTGATCCTTTGGGGTTGGGGAGGGGAACCTCGCCTTTATCTTTTATTATGATGAACCAGAGGAACATTTATTCTAGGAGTACGTTTGCCCTCTAAAGAAGATTCTCCTCAATTTTCTACCTGATGCTGGTGAATTCTGGAATTTTCCATTCTTACCCTGGAGGTAGCATTGTGTGGCCCTTAAGGGTTGCTCCCATAATCTTTTGGAAGAGGCTTTTTTTCAGTCTGTACTGTTCACTATTTACCTGGAGACTTACTTGAAGGGGACCTCCTACAGGTCCCCTGAGCCTTCTTCCCTTCTATCTTCCCTGCTAACTCAGCTTGTCCTGGGCTCACCATTCTCCAAGATTTGCCCATTTTGAAGGACCTCCCAGATTCCACAGGTGCTTTTTCCATATGTAAGTCAGAAACAAGGCTATTATGTCAAGAGGGCAGTAGAGCTAACCTGAAGAACAGGCTGACTACCTAGAAGGGAATAGCAATAACAGCATAGCCAGTGAGCCCATTGGCAGGACACCATAACACAGAAGTACTGAACTAGGTACAGGGAAAGCAAGGACACTAACAGTCAGGGGCGGGGGGAGGAGACTGGATGCCCAGTCAGGATCATCTTCACAACAGTCAGCCTTCTCCTTACAGTGTAAACAGTGTGTGTAAAGTTTTGCATACACGCTAGAGAAAGTTAGTGAGGTGCAGGCATGTTCCTGAGGAAGCCACACAGTCAGAGTTACCACTGAGAAGCCAAGATTCTCTCTGTACCCTCTTTTCTTTGCCTTGTCCTCCCATCTCCTCTAGTCCCTCCTTTCCTTGTATGCCTGTGGTCTTGGGGTTTGAGAAAGATGAGGCTGGAGCTCACCATGGCATCCTGGTTGCTGGATGAATGGACAGGATAAAAGTAGAAAGAAAATTTATGTTTAAAACGTCTTTACAAGCATAAGCTAGAACAGGTAGCTTAGCAACAGCTGCATAAAAAGCCCAAGAAACCTCCAGGTGAGTACTGGCCAAGGGACTGCTTGGTAGGAACTGGTCATTTGGCCAAAGTTGTTATTCAAACCTGTGTTCTGCTTGGGGAAAGCCTTGGCCACAACCCACCCTGCTCGGCTTGGGCTGGACATCCAACCTTTGAGGGA